AAAAATTTATAGGAAAGATTGTAAAAATTTTAGAAAAGGAGTTTCTAAATAGTAATTAAAATAAAATCATGCTTGGTTAGTACAGATATTAAAAGGTTTTTTTTTTTTTTCTAAGATGGCTCAAATGAAGGCTTAAGTGAGCTTTTCTGGTCACATTTTGTCTGGTGTCTGTATGTCTATAAGGCAAGATAAAATAATCTTTAGATTCTCATCCCCGCCTTACCCCTCTCAAAATGTCCCCACCCCGGTGTTTTTTATTTCTGATTTTTTGGGTGTTAAAAATATTTAAGTGTATTTTTATTCAGCAAGAATTTTGGTCTAAGTTTAATAGTTATCTCCCGTCTGTATTATAAGTCGCAAGTCGCTATTTATAGCAAAAGAGCCATGTGAAGAATAGCGAAAAATTGGCAAACTGTAAAAACTGTATATTTTACCGTCAATCTGGAAATTTTTACGTCGATTTATTTTGTGAATTCAGGTCCAAATGCTGTTTATCTTGGCCTTTTAAAATATTATGAATACTTGAATTGATTACAAACTGAGTATAATATATTGTAAATACCTATTTTTTAGAATTTAGATCTAAGGGCACATCACTCTAACTACAGAAAAATACCTTAGAATCAGAACTCTGTAGTGTACAGTGTAGAGAGGGTTCTTAAGAAGTCTTCTCAAAAACAGGAAGGCATGATAAGTCATATTGATATGGAAACATCCTCATGCAGTGTAGATTCAAGTTATGACCCCTTGGGTAGGATGGGACTACAATGCACTATCCGAGTTAAACATGCAGATCTATAGGGGGAAAAATTTTGGAAATCATTCTCTTAAGAACAGCAGAGACCGAGTCATGTGTAGTCAAATTAATATGGATGTATCTTAGGGTGGCATAAATAAAAGTTTGTTCCAATCATGACCTGAGGCGTAGAGTGGAGCTTCATCTATAAAAATCATGACACCTAAGGTAGCATGGGGTCAAAATAGAGATCAAAGTTTTACATAGGAATGTATGATAGAAAAAATCTGCAGTGTGATATTGACTTAGGTGAGTGTTGTGGCCCATGAGTCTATTGTCTTGGAGATGAACCTACTGTAGATTCCTTATTTTTAGCGATTACTTTTTATCGCGAATTGGCTCTTAAACATCAAATCGCGAGAATTATAATTCGCGAAAGGATGGTTGATCAAGAGATTTAACATAGATTTAAGCCCCATAAAAATAAAACGAGTAATATTTTTTCGCGAGTGATGCTTCTTTTTCGCGAAGTTACACAGAAATTAAATCCTCGCTTATAATTAGGAATCTACAGTATTTTGCACTTAGAATATGATCAAATTCTTTATCATAAGACTGTTAGTTGTACTCCTATTAAAGTAACCAACACAACTTTATGAAACTTTGAAGTTAATAAAAAATTTAGTATTGGATGCATAGAATTGCCATTTATTTATATAAATGATTTGTGGTGTTGTAAACAATGTGGGAGTATAAGATATGTTATCTTGATTAATTTTCTGCTACACATGTAGCTGATAAATGCTACAAGGTCTGCTTATAGAATGAAAAAAAATGTTTGTTTGGAATTGTGACCTGGAGGGTTTCAGACACAGGAAAAAGGGAAATTATATTTTTTCCAAAATTGAAGATCAATAAAATTTTCAGGAGGGGGCATTTTAATTAGGCAGGAGGCAATTCCAAACAAACAATTTTATTTTGATCTCAACAAACTTTTAGCATATGTATCTTTGAAAGAAAGTGTGATCAATGCAAATTTAAGTCTTTAATAATGAAGCTGTTTTGCTGATAAACTGGAAAAGTATTAGATGTAAAATCATTGCATTTGTTGGGTCTCTGTGATCTTCAATTAGAAATAATAGAAAAAAAACTATATTAAGGTGGTTATAAGTAATTTAGTAAAGTACATGATGACATGTAGATAAATCAAAATGCAGATATTTCATGAAATACAGTTAAACATACATTAAATATTCATTTTATGTACCTGGATCAATAGAGAGGGGGTGCAAATTGATTTTTGTGCTATCTGTCTGTTCGTCTGCAAATTTTAACCTTCGCCATAACTTTTGAACTATGCGAGATAGAGACCTCAGATTTAGTATGCATACTCCAGTAATTAAGCTGTTTCAAATGACAGGTTAGTAAGCTTATGACCTTGATTGTGAACTATATGCTGACAGTTTTTTTTTCCGGACCTTTGCCATAACTTTTGAACCATAGGAGATTAAAACTTCACATTTAGAATGCATACTCCACTAGTTATGCTCTTTGAAATGACACCACAGTCGAAGGTCAATGACTTTGTGACCTTGACTTTCACTTATTTACTAAAAATAGCTTTTTTGATCCTTCGCCATACATGTAACTTTTAAACCATTGGAGATAGAGACTTTGTTTATTGATATGCAAGAATAATTTAATATTGAATGTGAGCTATTTGCTAAAAACCTTTTTTGAAAACTTTATATATATTATGCAAGATCAATGATTTTGTGACCTTGAATGTGACCTATTTGCTAAAAACAGCTTTTTTGAACCTTCACCATAACTTTTGATCCATAAGAGATAAAAACTTCATATTTAGAATGCATACTCCACTAATTTAGTTCTTTCAAATGACACTAAGGTCAATGACATTAATCTTAACTGTGACCTATATGATAAAAATAGCTTTTTTAAACTTTGTTGCTGCGAGATGCATAGTGTTTCACAAACACATCTTGTTTTTCTCGAATAACAACATATATGTAGATTGACATCATATAACAAACATGTTGTGACAACTAATTTAATCATAAAAGTAGAGTAATTTTATTTATGCCATGAAAGAAAGGTTCAAATTCATAGTTTCAGTGAGTCAAAATGTAAAGGGTATACATGTGTATTTAATTTTTGATAGAAGCAAAATTGCTTTTATCAGTTAAAGACTTGGGGTAGTATTTAATGTATTTTAAGAAGTCTGCCTTAATTGATCTGTTGGAGCATATCTGATAATGCAGGTTTAATTCAAATCTTAGGTAATGTTGAAAGGAATTTAAGGAAATGACCACTAAATTTCAGCTGATACGATTCATTACATTATTCTAGATGTTGATGTTGAGCATTTTGTTATACCCCATGCTTGAAAACTGGGAGGGTATATACTATATAGTAATCGGGATGTCCAATTGTCTGTCCGTATGTATGTCATTTGTTACACTTTGGGGTACCCATCTCTTATCCACAACTCCTCTCATACAATATGTACCACTGAGTGATATTTGATAGACTTTCACAGAACTTTTATTATATTTGGCCATTATGCACCTATTTTAATTTTGATATGACACAAATTTTTAGTTTTCCATAGCAAAACATGGACACTGCCATTATATTCAAGTGAGAGGTGGGGGTTTCATTTAGTGAGCTTGTGATGTGTCATATGTACAATGTATATAGAAGCATCCTCAGGTAGTGAATTTTCAATTTTTTTTTTTAAATCATGATCTTTAGGAGTGGTAGGGCCACAATGGGGGTCAAAGTTTAATATAGAGATATATAGGAAAATATACTACATCTCCTCTTCAAGGTTGGGGCCATAATGGGGGATCTCAGATTTACATAAATATATCAAGGAAAAAAAAATCTTTTTCTCAAGAACAGAAAAGCCATGCTTATTCATTTTGATTTGGAGGCATCCCCAGGTAGTTTAAAATAAAATCGATGCAAATCAAGGTCAACAGGGGCGTGGATGAGCCACAACGGGGGATCAATTTTTTTGCTAATGAATAAAAAAAATATGCACAACAGCACAGATATTTGTTTATTGATATGGAAGAATAATTTAATATTCAAGTCCCACCTCCCCATTGAAAATTTTATAATACTGAAGAGATTTCTGAAGCAAATTGCAAATTGGATGTTGTGTTATAAGTTTGATAATTTGCTTACTATAAGGACTAGGTTTATTAATCAAATATTGTCAATTGAAGCAACTAATTGAGACCTCGTATCATGTTCACTTACAAGTAAGTCAACGTTACTTATTGGCCTTGATCAACAAACTTTGACAATGCATGCTGGGTCCTTAGAGTTTAATGGTAAAGTTATCGATAAGGCCAAGCTTAAAAAATTCTTTGTTTGCAGTATTCGACTTATAATTTTTAGACTGGGTAGGTAGGTAGGCATTTTTTTCTTAAAAAAAAAAATTTTAAGGATTTTTGTTAGATAACAAATAAAAAGAGCTTTTCATACTTAACATGAATAAGCTGCACTCTTGTTATAAACCACTGATTGATAAAAACAAAAGTCAAAAATTGTAAATGAAACAATTCCATTTTCCTGAAAAATTGATTTTTTTTTCTTTTTTACAAAATGACTGAAAGTTGGTGTCAGTGCATTTTCAGTGGGTCAGAGGCTACCGCAACCAAACAAATTTTTATTTTAGGCCTAAAAGGGGTACTGAATGTGTACTTATACGAGTGCTTCATTTTTAAGCAGCTTTGGCGCAGACAGTGATGGAGTAGAATTCACGAATACTGCTGAAGAAATCATTTACAAATACAATATATGGATATTCATCACAGACATGTGTAGCGCTAATTTATGATTAAGCCAACAACCGTATATTCATTTGCTTGCACTAAATTTTGAATAAACCAAATTTTGTACACATACACTACAGATATCTTGTTAATGGCCATAGCTTTAAGTGTAGAACATAAAAGACATTGTTATGGAGTGCAAGGTGATTACATTTTTTATTTGGTATCCTCAGTCTAATTTAACATGAATAACTTGTTTTGATATATGGGAAAAATGTTTTATTTTTTAGATGCCAAAGAGAAAGACCTTGACTGGCAGGGAAAAGCGCCAGAGAGACAAAGACCGCAAGAGGGAAAAGAGGCAGGAGCAGTCCTTGCCACCATCAGACCCTCCTCCAGATTCTGCTGTTCCAGCTGGAGCAGTAGATGGAGCTATCTTAGCTCCACCCGGTAATTTTCCGGGGCAAGGCTCTATAGGGTTGCCGCCTTTTGAGGAAAAACCCTTGGCCAGGTTGCAGGCCTCTCTTCGCGAGAAAATGCAACCAACTGCCCTGAGTAACGCATCTTCTCAGGGAAGTCGTCTGTGTGCCCGAAACGGAGGCATGGCACCGTCCCCTGACTCCCCACCGTGGGTTTGTACCTCGCCGAGGGTACCTGAGCCGGACACCGTGCACGTGTCTGGCTCAGCAGGTCAGGCGCAGCTGGATATGTCATCCTCCAAGGGGGATGAGTCCAGCAGGAGATTGATTGATGCAAACTGGAGTAAAAGAACGAGATCTAAAAGGAATACTAAAAGGAATTTACATGATGAAAATGAGAATATAGAGAATGTATATGAGAGATATAAATCAGAATGTAGAATAGGAAGACTGTGTACTGGTGAAATTGGTGTTGACTATGCTTGTGGTAGTAAAGATGGACCAGTAACATTGAACAAGGTGTGTATTCAAGGCTCTTTTCATCAAGGTGACCTAATGTTTGGTGAAAATGCAGGAACACAATGTGTTGCAAACTCGTTAGCAGCATTAGCATACCATAAAGTAAAGAATTCTAATCAGTGGCAAACTTCAGATATGAATAAAGTGTTGGCAACAGGAGATGAGCTTTATACATACTTGCAGCGTAGTTCAACCATTGTCAGTAGGTATCTTTTAGTGAACGAGTTGCCCCAATTTTTTGAGTGTTTTAATACAACGTTTAAGTTCAAAGCATGCGAATCTTTATGCAGCCTAATAAATTTGTCAGATGTAGAACCAAACTATGATGAATTCAATGCATATTCACTGACAGATGCATTGCATATTGGTCTTGGCGAAACAAGTGGGTGTTTTGTATGCTTCAAGGGAAATACTTTTTTGGTTGGAAAAACAGAGGATGGCTTCTTTACATTTGATCCACATTCACGATCAAAATCGGGGTGTATGAGTGTAAGTGGAAGGAGTACAAGGATACTGTATCAATCAGTTGATGATATTTACAATCACATATTGTCCTTGGCAATGTCAATGGGAATTTCTGGAATTACTGAATGTGAAATAACAGGTGTTGATTGTTCAGTTAGCCAGTTTGCAACAACTGATAAACATTTTATTGAAATTGAGCCAGGAAAATGTACTGAGCAAAATAAAGACTTGAAATTAGCAGTTCAAGAAAACGTAGACCTTTTGACTGCAAATGTTCAGTCAGATGCTAATGGTTTTCAATCATTTGCCAATGATGATGTTCAACTCATTTGCAGTGAAAGTCATAGTATAAGTTTTCTGCCACTTTCTAACACTGTGAAATTACAGCTTTGTCAAACCCTGGGAATACCTCAGTCAGGTACAAATAGTAATGTTGAACAGGATTGCTTTGTGCAAGAAGCAGGTGCACCTAGTGAATATGTTGAAATTGAAGGAGATGGGAATTGTTTTTTCAGGGCCATTTCATTTTGTTTGATTGGAGTAGAGGATTATCATTATGCAATACGATCAGCAGTGTGTAAACATCTACTACAAAATAGAATATTGTTTGAAACTTTTGTAAGATCTACAGAAAGTTCTGTTGAAAATCACTTGAATTTAACAGGTATGTCAAATGATGGTACATGGGCAACCGAAATGGAAATTCTTGCTCTCTCTCACCTCTTGAGCACTGATATACATACATATACAGAAAATCACTGGGTTACATTCTCAGGAAAACAGGTAGAACCTATGAATGTTCAAAGCACAGGGTCATTTTATTTAGTTCATCAGGATCAGAATCACTACAATGTAGTGGTGTCAGTTACTGAGAAAGAAACGGTAAGTTCCTTGAAAAATAATGCTCTGTATGTTGGCAAGAAAGACTACAGAGAAAGATGTAGAAATCGAGATCGTATGAGGGAAATGCGTATCTTTTCATCTGCCAAAAAATTAAGTACAAATCATGAAAAGAAACTAAAGAATGAAAATTACACAGAAAGGAAATTGAGAGCAGCAAAACTGAGGTACAAGACTGACCTTCAATTTAGATTAAAGGCAATCGCAAATGGTAAGGAAAGATATAAAAGTGATGGAATTTTCAAAGCAAAGGCAAAGCAGAGGAGCTTGGAAGCTTGTAAAAAGAAATATACAACAGATGGTATCCATAAACAATACATGAAGAGAAGAAGTATTGAGAAATATAGGTCAGATATAGTACATAGAGAGGGTGTTAAACAAAGAAGTATAAATAAGTACAAGAATGATAAAGAACACAGAAAAGATGTTAAACAAAGAAGTCAAGAAAAGTACAGGAATGATGAATTGCACAGAAAGGATTTAAAACAGAGAAGTAAAGAGAAATACAGGAATGATGAAGGACACAGAGAGGATTTAAAACAGAGAAGTTTAGAAAAGTACAGGAATGATGAAGTACACAGAAAGAATTATCAAGAAAAGAGTATAGAGAAGTACAAAAATGATGAAGCACACAGATTGAATGTTAAACAAAGAAGTATTGAAAAGTACAAGAATGATGAAGAACACAGAGTCGCAATTAAACAAAGATTGAATGTTAAACACAAGAAAACAAAGAAAAGTACAAGAATGATGAAGAACATAAAAAAGGTTAAGGCTGTTAATAAAGTAAAGTATCATTTTAGTGCTGCTGAGAAAAAGAAAAAGAAGGAGAATGTTCTGAATCAGAGACGAGCACTAAAGGTAAAGTTGGAAGACGAAGAAGAAGTTGTGAAATTGTTTAAGGAAAGTGTGAGAGATGGCCCAGACTACATATGTTGCTGTTGTAATCGTTTACTGTTTGAACATCAAGTCCAACGATGCACACTTGAAATGTATGAGAAAAGTCATGAAGCTTATAAAATTGCACAGATTTGTATACAGAAAAAATGCTCCCATGATTGTACATTGTCTTGTCCAGTGCATTGCCCCCAGTCATCATTGTGGATATGCTTTACCTGTCATAGGAAAATATTGAGTGGGAATATTCCAGCAGAGGCAGCTGTTAATAAAATGTCATTAGAGGAAATTCCATGCGAGCTTAGCAGTTTAAACAGTTTGGAGCAGCATTTAATTGCTTTGCATATTCCCTTTATGAAAGTGATGGCTCTTCCACAAGGTGGTCAAAGAAATGTTCATGGGCCTGTTGTTTGTGTGCCATCAAATATGGAGAAGGCAACAGCTTTACCAAGAAATGGGGATGACAATTTATTGTTAAGAGTTAAGCTAAAACGAAAGCTAGCTTACAAGGGCTATTACGAATACCAATTTGTTAATCCAACTCATGTTAACATGGCTCTTGATTATTTAAGGAAAGAAAACAAATGGTATAAAAAGGTAGTGATAAATACCTTGTGGGAAGGAAAAAGTGACCAAAATGATTTGCTATTTAATGAGACTAGTGAATTTGTAGATGAAGAGGTGAAAGAAGATGAGAGAGATGAAACTCATGTTGCTACTGACACATGTTTACAGCCTGTAGATGTGGCACAAGAAGTTCTTGATCATTACTTTGATGATGTTTACAATATAGCACCAGGCGAAGGGAAAAATCCAGTCCGAATGTTGCAAGAAGAAGGAAACGAAGCAAAATCATTTCCACATTTATTTCCAAGTGGCAACTTTTCTTGGAATGAAGATCGAGATGTGAAAATAACCCTATCAAGATATTTTAACAACAGACTTATGAATGCTGATAACAGATTTGCTAAGGACACAAATTACATTTTCTTTTCTCAATACATGTCAGAATTGAACCAAGTCATAGAGAAAACACAAATTTCAATTCGAAAGTCTTTGTCAAAGCTTGATAGTGGAAATGCAGTAACATCTGAAATGTTACAGAATCCTGATGTTCTCTCAAAACTCTTAAGGAATGATGAGGCTTTACGGTTTATGCAACCTATTCGAGGAACACCTGCATATTGGTCAGCTTCTCAAAAAGATCTGTTTGCTATGCTTCGACAGTTAGGCATCCCAACATGGTTTTGTTCATTTTCTGCAGCTGAATTTAGATGGAACGAAATAATTGGATCAATTTTACTTCAAGAAAATGATTCTAGATCGCCCCCTGATTTAGACTGGTCAGAAAAAAGTGAAATTTTGAGAAGCAATCCAGTTACTGTTGCCAGAATGTTTGAACATAGATTCCATATGTTTCAAAGACATGTAATATTGTCACCCTCAAAACCAATAGGAAATGTTATTGATTTCTTCGTTAGAGTAGAATTTCAACAAAGGGGCTCTCCACACATGCACTGCTTGTACTGGATTGAGAATGCACCAAAATTTAATGAAGATGATGATAACACTGTTTGCGATTTTATTGATAAATATATCACATGCGCTATACCTGCTGAAAATGATGACGAAGAGCTGCGAGAAATTGTTTTAGGTGTTCAGCAACATAGTAAGAACCATTCAAAATCCTGTAGGAAAAAGGGTACAGACTGTCGATTCCACTTTCCAAGACCACCATCAGAAAGAACATTTATTACAAGACAATGTGAGGAAAATGAGGAGGACTCTGAGAAATCCGAAGGACTGAGTAAATCTCATGCTAAAGATATTTTGTTGCATGTTTGGAATGAAGTTCTTGATGATGTGAATAAAGGCAAAACTGCAGAGGAAATATTCACTAAGATGCAATTATCACAGGATACTTATGAAAGGGCACACAAGGTATTATCTGCAAAAACAAGTACTATCTTGAAACGAAATCCTGATGAAATGTGGACAAACCAATACAACGCATGCCTTCTCAAATGCTGGGATGCCAATATGGACATACAGTACATCCTTGACCCATTTAGCTGCATTGTTTACATAATTTCATACATATCCAAGTCAGAGCGGGAAATGGGAATGCTGCTGAAACAAACTCGAGTAGAATCTGCAGAGGGAAATTTAAGTGCTCGTCAAACAATAAGAAAAATTGGATCAGCTTATCTTAACCATAGAGAAGTGAGTGCCCAAGAAGCAGTGTACAGAGTTTGTAATCTAAAAATGAAAGAAGGATCAAGAAAAGTAGTGTTTGTTCCTGTTGGTGAAAATCCGACTCGATTAAGTAAACCCCTTTCACAAATGAAAAGAACATGCAAGAACGAAAATGATATGGAAGATGATGACGACAGTATTTGGATGACAAATATAGTGGAGAGATATGAAAATCGTCCTGATTTACATCCTTTTCCTGAAATGTGCCTTGCAGAATTTTGCTCAGAGTATCGCGTTTTGGCGAAATCTCAAATACCCAAGGGAGTAAAAGATGGCGTGTATGAATTGAAAAACGGAAATGGTTACATTCAGAGAAGAACAAGAGCTAAGCCAGCCATAGTAAGATATCCAAGGTTCAATCCTGAAAATGCATCAGAAAAGTATTATCAGTCAATACTACAGCTTTTTCTTCCATATTGGACCCAAGATCAATTGAAACCGCCTGGATTCAAGTTTTATCAGACATTTTACGAGGAAGGGTTTGTCAGAATAGGAACTGAAAAGAAATTACAGTCTGTGAGGATTGTGGTTGAAAACAATCATTGTAATTTCTCAAAGAATGAGGCTGCCCTTGAAAATGCTCAGGAAACTCTAGAAGTTTATGGTGAACCTGAAGATGCTTGGGCTAACCTTTGTCCAGAAACTGAAAGAAATCGAGATGAATGTCTATACGAAAAGAGAAAAACAGAACAATCAGAAAACAAAGAACAAGAAATCACTCATGAAATTGAACATGATTGCTCTTCTGATTTGATATACCATATTAGAGAAAACTCAAACTCAAGGGAAGAAATTCTGCCTTTATTGCGAAGTTTAAATGATAAACAAAAACAGGTTTTTTACATAGTTCGTGAATGGTGCTTGAGAAAAGTAGATGAGAGGAAAGTAGCTCCATTACATATCTTTGTTACCGGAGGTGCAGGAACAGGAAAAAGTCACCTGATAAAGACTATACAGTATGAGGCCTCTCGGATTTTTGAGAAAATTGCTTCATCTCCTTCAGAATTATCTGTTCTTCTCACAGCTTTCACTGGAACCGCTGCTTTCAATATTGGGGGAAACACAATTCACCACGTATTTTCTTTAACCAAAGCTCTACCTATTCCATACGAACCCCTGAAAGAACAGAGTTTGAGTGCAATGAGGGTGAAGTTAGCTTCTCTGCAGATATTAGTCATCGATGAAGTCTCAATGGTTTACAAACGACTTTTGTATTACATTCATGAACGACTGGTACAAATCAAGAAATGCAAGGAACCTTTTGGTGGTATTTCTGTTATAGCAGTTGGAGATTTTTACCAACTACCTCCTGTGAAACAGCGAAAGTTGGAAATACTTTACAAAGAAAATGATGAATATCCCATAGACTACTGGTTAGACTTCTTCAAAATTGTTGAGTTAGAAGAAATAATGAGACAACGTGACGATGTAGCATTTGCTACAGTTTTGAATTCCCTACGGATCAGAACAATAGAGGAACCACTCTCAGAAGAGGCGAAAACAATGCTTAAAGAGTGCATCAGAGATGGACCAGATGAAGTACTGCATGTGTATCCTACAAATGAAGAAGCAAATGAATATAATCTAAAGATGTTGCAAACAAGTTCTGAAGAATTGATAGAGATATCTGCGGAAGATTATCAAAAAGACAACACTACAGGAAAGCTGACTTTACGCGAAAAACCCTTCATACGGACAAGAACAGATGGGCTCTCTGCTTCTTTGCTGTTTTCTGTGAATGCTAGAGTTATGCTGACAAGAAATATCAATGTGGAAGATGGACTTGTGAATGGTGCGATTGGGCATATTTCAGCTTTTGATTTTGGACAACCTCAGCTAAGAAATAGGGTAGAAGGGATTAGAGTTTTGTTTGATAGTGAAGATATTGGAAAGTTGCATGGGAAAAAGACGCCGCATGGAAATGAAGTATTGATTCAGAGAATACAAGAAGACATCAAGGAGAAAAATTCAAAGAATGTTGTACGACATCAGTTTCCCTTGAAACTTGCATGGGCATGTACAGCACACAAAGTTCAAGGCATGACAACAAACTGTGTTGTAGTAAATTTAGATCGTACTTTCGCTCCAGGACAGGCATATGTTGCAGTAAGTCGTGTCACATCACAAAATGGTTTATTCATAGAAACAAAAGATGAAAATGCATTGTTGAAAAAAAATTATGCGAATCCAGACATAAAGTCAGCACTGTGTAAGATGGAAAAAATAATCCCAGTGCAAGATTATCCCAACTACTATGATGACCGAACCTTCAAAACAATTGTTTTACTCAATGTGCAAAGCTTAAGAGCGCATTTTCTTGACCTAAAAAGTGATACAAGATTCCTCCAAGCAGACTTTATATGTGTAACAGAAACATGGCTGACAGACAATGATAAAATCCAAAATTTTGAAATTGACGACTTTCAATTCAACCATATTACAAGGAAGCAGTCGTATGATGAAAGTGTAGACATTTTTGCTAAACTTCGAGTGTCCAAAGGAGGAGGGGTAGGTGTTTATAAGAAGAGAAACGAAAAAGCTTTAGTTCATGTTTTATCTCAGAAAAATATTGAGGGAATGGCTATAGAACTTAGTGAGGAAGACACAGCTATCATCGTAGTATATCGACCAAGTTCTCTTAATGTCAGTTGGTTCCTTGACTCCCTTCAGAGAGTTTTAGATTTTTATAAAGTATTGTTTTCTCAATGCCTTATACTTGGCGATTTCAACGAAGATGCACAATCCAAAGGACCAATTCAAAGAATGTTAGAAACCAGTGGATTTAAGCAGAAAGTGAATTTTGCAACAACAGACGGGAATTCAATGTTAGATCATGTTTACATTACAGAGCAGATGGAAGCAAGAGTAGAGGCAATGTCAGTTTATTACAGCTATCATGAAGCTGTTAAAATTTCTTTAAAAACCAGATAAAACTTAGGCCTCGTATGGTGACGTGTGCGGAGACTTGCCAAAGTTTTCGAGTTCCAGGCAACAAGAAAGATAACTCCAAAAAGGAACTTTGATACCAAGGATTTTGAAACTATTTTTTCTACATCAGTGCATAAAATTTTAATTCAATTTTTTGGTGTAATCTTATTTATTGATGCTTTTTCTATACAAAAGGAGTCTTCCTTGATTTTTCTATACATGTATTTTAGAGAAAATGAGATTTATTCATTTTTCGTAAATTAAAAAAAAAAATTATAAAAAATATGTCGATTGATAAAATTAAGTTTTTATGGTTTTTCTGTGAGCTTAAAAATATATGATAGGGTAAGACAAAATTGATTGTGCTATGTGTGAAAACGCCTTTGGAAAAAATATCTTGAAACTTGTGAAATTATTATTTTAAAAAATCTGCATAAATTACATTTTAATTCCTGGCCAGTTGTTAAAGGTTGAAATGCTTGTCAAAAATTTATATAATTCAGAAAAATAATGATTTCTAATTCAAAATAGCAACAACTATAACAAGGATATGGGTTACCCCATATCAAAAGATATTCGACTTTTAGATTTAATATGTTTAACAGTGTTTAATGACTTTAAAAAAAAAAAAAAAAAAAAAACTGTGCTGTCTAGTTTTGGAACTGGTGTAAATTTTGTGAGTCCATAGAATTACGGTCGCCCAGTTTCCTAACAAACAGTAAACATACCTGTACGTGTCTGCCAGATCAGTTTGCCTGGCCTATACACACGTGCGATGGAGTTGTCAAACGCATCTAGTGAGCTCGGAGAAACACGTTTTATTTTGCCAAAAAGTTACCATGGCAGACAATTTTTTTTCTCTTAATTAGATAATATGAATACGAATTCTGATTAATAAGAATTAAGCAATCCCAGTTTTCAGTTTAGAAATCTCAACGGTTCGGCTTTTGCTACACATTTTATAACTACACTCCCTACAGTTTACACAGTCTACACAAGAGCAGCATCTGACCTGGGGGATTGAAAATTCCGTAATTTAATAACGCACACACACACGCAGAATGATTTTTTTTCAAGAGGAAATTGTATGATAACAAGATGTGTTTGTAAAATATTGATGCCCCAGTATGGCAACATAGCAAAGATTAACCTTTTCTTAAATTCAAATCTAATAAATTGGTACCAAAAGTAGGGTATTCTCACTGGAAGACAATTGTGATATTTGAAAGTAAGCAAATGTTAAAGTTTTTTAATGAGTACAAAAATCTCCAAGGTCAAAAGGTCAATGTAATTAGTATCAAATGAAAGGACTTGCCACATTAAATACTTATGTAGAGCATGAAAGTCCTAGCCCTAGCCGTTCAGAAGATATGGCCAACGTTCAATTTCTTGAAAAGTAGGTCAAACTCAAAGGTCAAGGTCAAAGTTATTGTTATCAAATGAAAGGTCTTGTCATAAGGATCAAATATGTAAAATATGAAAGCACTAGCCCTAAGTCTTTAAAAGTTATGGTCAAGGTTTGCTTTTTTTAAGGAGGTCAATCTTAAAGGTCAAGGTCAAAGGGTCAAGGATCTTCATATCAAATGAAAGGTCTTCTCTAAAGGATTACATATATGAAGTATAAGCCATATCCCTTACCGTTCAAAAGTTATGGCCAAGGTTAAAGTTTTTTCACAAATACAGAAATCTACAAGGTCAAGGTCAAAGGTTCAAGGTTGTTGGTATACAGTGAAATGTCTTTTAACAAGTATTACATATGTGAAGTATAAATGTCCTGGTGACTACTGTTCAAAAGATATGGCCAAAGTAAAATTTTAAATTTTTTCTTAAAAAGTAGGTCAAACTCCAAGGTCAAGGTCAAAGGGTCAAAGTTATTGTTAATAAATGAAAGTCTTGTCATAAGGATCAAATATGTAAAGTATGAAAGCACTAGCCCTAGGTCTTTGAAAGTTATGGTCAAGTTTGCTTTTTTTAAGTAGGTCAATCTCAAAGGTCAAGGTCAAAGGGTCAAGTAGCTTCATATCCAATAAAAGGTCTTCTCACAAGGATTACATATATGAAGTATGATAGCACTATCCCTTACCGTTCAAAAGTTATGGCCAAGGTTAAAGTTTTTTCACAAATACAAAAATCTACAAGGTCAAGGTCAAAGGGTCAAGGTTGTTGGTATCCAGTGAAACGTCTTTTAACAATTATTACATAAGTGAAGTATAAATGTCCTGGTGACTACTGTTCAAAAGATATGGCCAAAGTAAAATTTTAAAAAATTTTCTTAAAAAGTAGGTCAAACTCCAAGGTCAAGGTCAAAGGGTCAAAGTTATTGTTATCAAATGAAAGGTCTTGTCATAAGGATCAAATATGTAAAGTGTGATAGCACTAGCCCTAAGTCTTTAAAAGTTATGGACAAGTTTGCTTTTTTTAAGTAGGTCAATCTCAAAGGTCAAGGTCAAAGGGTCAAGTAGCTTCATATCCAATAAAAGGTCTTCTCACAAGGATTACATATATGAAGTATGATAGCACTATCCCTTACCGTTCGAAAGTTATGGCCAAGGTTAAAGTTTTTTCACAAGTACAGAAATCTAAAAGTTTTAGGTCAAAGGGTCAAGGTTGTTGGTATACAGTGAAAGGTCTTTTAACAAACATTAAATATGTGAAGTATAAATGTCCTGGTGAATACTGTTTAAAAGATATGGCCAAAGTAAAATTTTAAAATTTTCATGTTAAAGTGGGTCAAACTCCAAGATCAGGTCAAAAGGTCAAATTTGGTGCTACCAAAAGAAAGGTCTTGTCACAAGGAATACACATATGAAATATGAAAGTCATAGCTCCACTAAATCAAAAGTTATGGGCAAGGTTCAAATTTTTGCGGACAAACAGACAAACAGAGAGACAGACAGACAGACAGAGAGACAGACAGACAGACACGACAAAAACTATATACCCCCGAAACTTCGTTTATGGGGGCATAATTAATGGACAAATAAGCATGAACTTAATACAATTGTTGATATAGTATTATCAATTCATCGGTGAAAAATATCAATTGAAGAATGACCTAAATATTCTCTATTATCAAACATGTTTTAAAAAAAAAAGCCTGAGGTGGGAGTAAGCGCAGGAATATTGATTTTTTTTTGCATTTCGGGGGTGAAGTGATTTTCTAAAAATATTTTGACGTTATTTTTGGTTTCTTTGACGTATGACATACACATTTTTCTTATCATGAATAATAATGTATCTTCTTATCATGATGGAACTATTTTTGTCGGAATAATTTGTGCGAGTCGCCACTGACTACAGTAATATATCTTGAACTGATAGTAAGCACTGATCGGATATATTAAAAATTTTAAAATTCGTTGAAACAATGAAAAAAATATGAGCATTTGGACCTCCAGTATGGGAAATATATAACTCTTGCTAAATTCTGGCCTATCAAAAACTAACTTGTACTGGTGTCTCATTATATCGCGGTACTTAATTCTTTTGTATTAAAAGTGTAATTCCAAATTTTTACTTTTAACTTTCATCAAATATGGTATTCATTAACTAAACTTTGGCCTAACCTTTAAGTATCAAATTACTTTCCAAGTTTGCATCGTTTAGTTGTAGTCTATTTTTAAAACAGGAAGTCTTATTTACCTCCTAAATTGGAGAGTCCCATTGTATCGTGGTATGGGAAAACATGGGAGCTTGCAGTTGACATGGACTTCAATTTTTATATTAAATTTTACAATGTAATACTACATGAAAACTTAACAAAAATACAAACTTAAGACTTTTTATAAATGTGATCTTTATTATTGGTTTTACTAGATTAAAAATTCATTGGTCTAGATATGAAATGAAAACGGCAATTGAAATCTCAAAAATTACATTTTATTTGAATAATTTTTTTCTAAAGGGTGTTTCATACATTTTAATCATCACAAAAGTCAGCATTCAGACGACAGACATAGATACCTAGTCCATCAAAAAAAAGGATATGAGCTTTGAATCCGAATTTTTGGAATATACTGCGATACAGTGGAACCCGCGATGTAATGAGAATTGACGATATATTTCATTTGTTTGTCGATTTTTTTTTTGGTTTGAATATTTATAAGCCGACAGGAAACTACATATAAATATCAGCAAGTGCCTAGTAGCACATGGTCAACTCAGACTTCGAGTCGGAGAGGTCTCAGCTTTTAACCATGTTCAAGTACCATATACCACTATATAATATTCATGGATATTATAAATCACATCTACACCTTTAAATTACTCACGTCTGTATGTTAAGACACCGTTTGATACTTTGAATAAGCTGCATTAGGCCTAGTCAATTTCTACTCTCCAGGGAACCAATAAACAGACAACGTTCATAGATCTATAACGTATAAGGCCGATCCCGACCCGAAATCATTACTGCAAGGTCTAGAGCCAGCATCAGCTTTTCCAACCACACTACCCGGTTCAAAATGTGAATATTTTGTACCTATTCCATTAGTTCGAGTAAAACAAAGTACAGGTCAGATTTGAAATTGATTAGAGAATTTCTCAGGATGTATACGGCATTAAAGATTTCGGAATAAACTTTGGCATGATGAAGATTCAGGGGCGGATCCACCGATTTTTTAAAAAAGAGGAGGGGATCGATCTACGTCAGTGCAAGGAATCGCACAACAGGAACTCCAAGGCACTTTTCAAAAGGGCAAGTCCCATAATGAGTTGAAAAGCCCAAAATTGATAAATAAATAAAACATAATAAACCTGTGCACCACACCGTAATTAAATTCTATTTCAAGGAGGGGTGCATGTGAGTATTTTGACCTTCCGGCAGCAAAAAATGCAGAGGAGTAGAGGGCATCAGTCAAATCACAAGACACTCATGGGCCACATCGTTTATCTGAGCACTGAGGCTGGAGAAAAAGCAAATATGTCACAGAGTGAATAAATTAATATTATAATAAATACAAATACAATTTTTGTATTAATGATTTGTGACTTTATATACTAAT